GAATGGAATGAAATGACTTATCTGGTCAGTAAATCAAGGATGGGACGGGGGATTTATTTTAAACAATCACACTCTTGTTGCACATGCAGCCCTATTCCATCATAAATATTCTATATGCAGAGCACTAGGGTGATTTTGTGCAATCCTCCCACTTCCCAAGAGACAGGTGGCAATAAATACAAATATTTTGGTGACACAACTATGAAGATGCTACTAGCATCTAATGGGTAGAGGCCAAAGTTGCTGCTGGCCCATAGGACAGCTTCCAGCAACAAGGGATTTCCAGCCCCAAATCACAATAGGGTCAAAGCTGAAAAATTAACAGGATGCTAAATCTCAAAGGTCTCCTCCAATTTAGGGCCTAGGTTCAAGCACGTAATGCAATTGAGGTACAAATGAGAGGGCACTCAAGTACAGCACGCACATTGTTAAAAAATCTTCCACTGCTCTTTAAATGTATGACCACTCTCACTCTCCTCTTCCCTGGATGCTGGCCTTCTGAGCAGCTAATAACCAAACATCAGAGCAATATGGATTTCATTTCAAGCCTGTTACCCTTTGCAGAAAGGGAGGCCAAGGGCTGGGCAAGCTTTTAGAAAAAACAAAAAACTCAAAGAGATAAATGAATTCTGTCACTGGAGAGTCTTGATGACAAACGTGTCAGAGACAGAGGGCTAGCAGGGGGCTGATATGAAGGAAAACAGATATTAAGGAGGACAGGAGAATAAAACTGCTAAACAAAGCCAGGCATGGTGGCACATGTTTGTAATCCCAGCACTCTGGGAGGCTGAGGCAGGACAATCACCTAAGCAAAACACAAAATACATCTGCTAAACAAAATGCTAACAGAGGTATGGTCAAAATTAAAAACGAGGGGCTGGTGACATGGCTCAGTGGTCTAAAGCACCTACTTAGAACAAGCTTAGCAAAGCACAGGGACTGCGGGTTAATCCCCCAGCACCACATGCCAGTCAGCCCCGCCCCCTGGTGGGCTGAGCTGGCCACACACACACACACACACAAATTTAAAAAAAGTTAAAAATGAATCTGTTTTCTTCTACATCTTGAGATCCAGGCAAAAACTTTCATGATGATGCCAGGGAGGATGTTATAAGCCAAAGACACCTGCACAAATCACAACAAACAACTTGGCACCTGCAGCACAGCCCTGCAGACCTTCCCAGCCTCTGGCCTCCCACTTCCACCTTCCTGCCCTCACAGACTGGAGGTGAGGCTGGACACTACGTACAGACAGTCCCACAAGCGCACCTCTGCCCATTCTGCGCCTTCTGCTTGGATGCTCCCCACCTCTGCGCCTGGCCCAGGGTTCCTTCCTGGTGCCATCCTAGAAGGCATCCCGACTTCCCTGCCATCTTGACAGGCCACCCTGCATGGTAACCACCCACATATGGATTGGTGCCTGATGGGTGGAGGTGCCCCGAGGGCAGGGTTTGTGGCTTTTCACCAGCCTTCTTCTCCAGTTTTCAGCTATGCTCCAGAGCTCTGTTCAGAGAAGGCACCACCAACATGTGTTCAGCGACTACTATTTTTGTTTGTTTGTTTCGGAACCAGGGATTGAACTCAGGCCCTTGCACTTGCCAGGGAAGCGCTTATTCCACTGAGCCATCTCCCCAGCCCCACAGTGACTGCTATTTTTAAATGACAACTAAGGTCTCCCCCTACTGCCACCATCATTGTCTGCAGATGTTCACTGTGTAATTCCACCTCTTTTCACCAAATCTCACCCCTACATTCACAAGCAGGGTAAAACTGACTTTTGTGACTTGCAAATAATTTAACCCTGAGGTCCAAGCTGGTATCAAACATGTAACTAGCACTTTCTTGAAAGACAATCATTATACAAACGGATAGAAATCACAAAGTCCTTTCACCTAAGCTTGCCAGTGTGTGTATTATGTTCGTCTATATATTAGGACTAACGCACTCAAACTATCTTTACAAAACTATACTCCTCCAACACATTAAAACATTAAGTGAAATTAAAGATGAAGTTATCCACTGGTTGATTTGCTAGCTGTATAAAAAATCCAAGTGTATCTTGGCACATGGGTTGATACATAGACTACGCACACACACATAAAGGGAACTGGGTATGTATGCGTCCATTATAGAATCACAGAATACCATTTTTCCAAGCTGCCTTTCAGCATCTTTTGCTGTTAAAAATTCGACTCTTCTTCCCTTCTATGCTTTCTTACAAGAGAAATATACCACCTCTACCCATGTGGTGTAAGTTCATGCTTAGAACCTTTACAATCTCTTCTAAGAAAGCCTCCCATAACAGTTCTTTGCTGATAGTGACAAATTATTCCAAGAGACAGAAGCACAAAATGGATCCAAATTCGAAATTGTTACTCATTAATTCATGGGTCACCACTTCTGTCCAAGACAGCAGGTAATTCTTACTCCTGAAAGTCTACTGCCTACTAACATCAACCCCTAAGCTCACTGTATCATAAACAAGATCTCCACATGGTTCCTTGTACTCTGAACTGAAAATGAAACTGTCAAACCAATGAGGCAGCCTCTCTGGTCGAGGGTACCTACATTTATAAGACTTGCCACTTCTACAGGGAAGAATCTAGTGATGAATGATGATGAATGACAGATCAAAGTCAAGGACACAAGAGATCAAGGGACAGAGAGGTCATCAAAAAGCCAAGCAGGCATAGCAATATAGAGATGATCCAAAGTTTTTCATCTGTAAAACAGGACAGTAAGTATTCTATGTAAAATATTATTCAACCTATGTTATAAAAATATATAGACAATAACAGCTGATTCATGGAGCTGTAAAAATACACAAGTGCCTGGAACGCGGCAGTTGCTCAGTAAGTCAGTATTTGGCGTAAGAACCAGTGGGCCACGCAGAAACTGCCAGTGCAGAAGACTTCAGTATGTCGGAGGTGGCGCACTTGCTTAGCATTTGTGAAGTCCTGAAGACTGCAAGGGGGAAACAGAGGACTACAGAAGTTGAAACAGGTAAAAATATAAACGAACTGAAACCTACTTAAGTTTGCTACGGAGCGCATTTCTTTTTTTCTGAATTTTGAAATAAGCCATATATGCACAAATATATTTCTGGATAGAATATAGTGTTAAGATAAATCATATTACTTCTCTTTAAACTTGTTTAAGACCTATCACTAGCAAAGCAAACATAAGGATGAACTTACAGAAGCTGGCTGCAGTTAGCCAAACACATCACTCTAGAGCCAGGCCCTGTCATCCTCAGTTTCAGTCTCCTGGGCCCGGGGACAAGCCAGGCATTCACACTCTCCAGTCAGCTCGGGCCAGGTTGGACCTGCTCTTCCACCCTGTTGTCCGCTACTAGAACACATTCCAGGTCTCCGCAGTCTGGAAGCTCTTTTTCTGTATCTAACTTGGAAACTCCAATTTGGGCCAAGGGCCCTGAACTGTAGTTATTTCAAGTTCATGAACCTGTGCAGTGTCTCACATGCTTCAGAGTCCCTCACAGCACCTACCACAGTGAGGTACTCAGTAAACTTGTTGCTAGGGACAAAATAGGTGCTCAATAAAACCGACCTTTCATCTACCAATGATAATGAAGTATCACACTGAAATTACCCAATATTCAATCCAAAGAACACTTCTGCATTAATTGCTAAGCTACTTAAAGCAAAAATGTTTTCTGGTCTTAATTATTTAGACTACAGTATTATTTTGTCATTCTTAACTAAATAGTCTACTTTAGGCTTCAAAAACACGGTATGAATAACAAAATATTCCTCAAAATTAATCTCCAGGAGTCTCCTGAGAGGGATCAATGAAGCAATTATATATATATATATATATCTACAGCTTCCAAGTTCCGTCTTGGGTAGTTTTCACCAAGCAATGCTCCAGTTATTTTTGGTCAGAAACATCTGCACCAGCTACTCTAATCCTCCTTTCCAATCCTCTTGAAAGAAATGCCCAAAACAGTCTCTAAAGGGGTCAAATGTTTCCAAATGAGAGTGGAGACTGGATCTCTATGAGAATGAAAAATGTGGGCCTGGGATGTAGCTCAGCCACATGGCATCTGCCTGGCAAGCCCTAGGTTCTGAGTTCGATTCCCAAGTACCAAATAAATGAGAAAATATAAAATGTTTCTAAGTTTTTAACTTTTTTTTTTTTTTTAAGCAAACATCAACTGAAGAGGTTGAATTAAAGACTAACCTACCCTCTCCTTGGAAAGTTCCCGGGGCCCCTCCCTTCCAATCCATTCTCAAGACATTTTTTTTCCTGCCTACAAAATGCAGCTTTCTTTCAGAATAATTCCATTTAAAAAGTCCCCACCCGCGAAGAAACATTAATCTACTTTGCAAACATGCACTTCAGTCTGTGCTTTACTGTTTTTTTCAACTGCTTCTCCCCCCCCTTTCGTACCTTGAGACAAATGTTTTTTTCCCCCAGAGTTGAATGCTGTCCAAAAACAGGACCACACACGCCGCCGCCTCCGCAGGCCCGCGCTGCGCCCGCCCCCCGCCCTCAGCCCTCCCCAGCGTCGGCCGCCGGGGGCGCACGCACTCCCGCCCGCCGGAGGGGTGGCCTCTCCCTCCACCCCCGCTCCTTTCTCTCCGGACGCCGTGGGTGGGGGTGGGAGAGGGAAGGGCGCCGAGCTGGGGATCCCGGGGAGAGAGGCCCTCCCGGAGCTGCGCCCGGGGGCCAGGCCGAGACCGGCGAAGGCAGCTGGCCCCCGGGCACCCCAGCCTCGCCGAGCGGTGCGCCCCCCGAGGGGCCCCGCGCCTTCGCCATCCGTCCGCCCACACCTAGCGGAGCGCGGCGCCCCGAGCCGGTCACAGCGCGGCCTTTGTCGGCGGGCCTGGCGCGGGGCCAGGAGCCCAAACAATAAACAGTCCCCCCCGGTCCAGGAAGGGGGCTCGCGCTGGCCACGGCCGCGCCCTAGGTATACGCTGGCGAATGTCTTCATCCCATAGAGCGGAGGGAAAGGGAGGGAAGGGGCGCGGGTCGCTTACCTTCCACCCACAGCTCCTCCACGTTGGTCTCCAGGTTAGCTGCCTTTAATCCCACCGCGAAGGCCCCAAATATGAGCAGGCCTACAACCAAAAACTTGCCGCAGTTTTTTTGAATGTAACAACCCAGTTTAAATAAGAGTCTCTGAAACTTCGCTCTCAGCCACAGCGGCGCTTTTCGGCCGGTCGCCTTCCCCTGGGGATGAAGCAGAAGGGAGGAGTGAACTCCGGGGAGTGGCGCCTAATCCCGCCGGGGACGTCCCGACGGACTTCGCGCTGTGGCTAGGACCCGGCGCGGGGATGTGGGGCCTGCCTGCTCGTAAATCAAAGTCATCTCCCTCTTAGGGGCAGCAAAGCCACCCCACGCGTGGCCCGCGAGACATCCTCGAGTATGCCTGGGGCGCTGTACGGAAAAGCCAGACCAGAGAGAGAAAGCGCCGGACGGGAGCAGGATTCGCCCCAGACCTGGGAAGGGAAGGCCCGCGCAATTCCAGAGAAAGAGCCCCGCACCTAGGAACCCAGGAAGCACGACCCCCTTCCCGTTGGTATCCTCTCCAGAGTGGTGCTGGGGCTGCGTGCTTTGGGGGACCGTATTTTGCGAGCCCCCCCCGCACGGAGTGGTAGTCATGGGGGTCCACGTGGAGAGCACCGCAGCCAGGGCGCACTCGGGACGATTTCCATGGCGTTGGGAGACGCTGTGTGAGCGGAGTTAGACAGCCGGGCAGCCATCAGCGACTTACGACAGGATCTGGGATCGGAAGAGGGCAGCTACAAGGATCTCTCCCTCCTGGCTAACGATACACACACCGGGCGCAAGGGCAGGCGGGGCCCCAGCCCCAGCCCGGCCCTTCTCCGCGCTGGCCTTCCCCGGATTCCACACATTTTAGCCGGCCCCATAAACACAATGAACCCAGCCGCTCCGCACACCCGCACAGCGGATTTAAGGTGGCAATTCGTTTACCACGCTCTATCTCCCCGTCAGGCTTCTAGGACAGGCGGCTCACAAACCGGAAAAGAAGAGAGAGGAGGTCCTCTTCCGAGGATAATTTTTAAGGGAGCAGAGGTTTCATGCTCAACAAAAGCAAAACCGGCTGCCAAAAAAGGAAACCACCTTTATTTCGGCTCCCTGCCCCCTTCCTCTCTCCGCCTCTCTCCACTCCGCCTCCTTCTCCAAGATGTTAAGAAATGTGGCAGTGTTACAGGCATTTAGGCTGCACAGTGGGGCCGGGGCGCGGGAGGAGGGAGCTCGGGGCCCGGGCGCGGGGCGAGCTGCGCCGCGGCAGCCCTAGAGGTGGTCCTCGGTGGCCCGCTGCCCGTGGCTGCGCAAAAGGCTCACCGGGGAGGGGGCCCCCGCGCGCGCAAATAGACATACACACGTACACACACACACACACCTCCACCCCCTGCGGACCTCAGACAGCCTTTCCTCCTAGGACCAGAGGGAGGATTTGAATTTTTCAAGCCCCACTTGACTGCAGCTCTTCCTGGAGAGGGGCTTGTGTGTGTGTGCGCCCCACTTGACTGCAGCTCTTCCTGGAGAGGGGTGTGTGTGTGTGTGTGTGTGTGTGTGAGCGCGCGCGCAAGGGCGACCCCGGAGAGGAAGAGAGGGGAGAGTGGGAGAAGAGTCCGAAATGCACCTTGGAAATCTGCTCCAGAGCGAAGGCGGCGTCGCAGTAGCTGGGCCGGTGCAGATAGTCCGGGTCCGGCGCGGCGGATCGACGCAGCCCCCCGGTTCGTCTACGCCGCCCGCCGCCGCCGCGGTCTTCGGGCTCCGCGGCGTCACCCGCCGAGGCCATGTTGCCGTCGCCGCCGCCTCCTCCGCGGGGACCGAGGCTCCCCGGGCCGCCGCTGCGCACCCCCGGGCGCCCGGTTCGCGAGGACGCTGCTGGCCGCCGGCCTCTGGGGCTCGGGCTCCAGGCGACAAACCTGCTCACGCGGCGGCCCCCGCGCCTTCAGAGCCCGCGCCTTCCATTGCCACATCGCGCGGGGGTCCCGCGGTCTCCAGTCCTATGCGCGCGGGACGAGCCTGGCCTCGCGCGCCCCCGACCCTCACGGCTGAGACCCCCAGCGGGGCTCAGCGACACCGGGCCGGCGCGGCTCCCGAGGCTCCCGCGGCTCCCGCGGGCGGAGGCGGCGCCTGGGGCTGCTGCTTGGTCCCGGACGCGGCGTTCTCGGGCCCCTCGCCGACCCGCTGGACCATTCTGCCCCCGCGCCGCGCGCCTCCCTGGCTCCCGGGACCTGGGGACTGCGCTCTGCGTGTGTGCGGCGGGCAGCGGCCGCAGCAGCTCCTTGATTCAATAGATGAGATGGAAGGAGAAAAAAAAGAACTCTCTCCATTTGGAGAAAGAGGAGGAGGAGGGGAGGGGGTGGAGGGGGAGCGAGCGAGCGAAAGAGAAAAAGGCTGGAGCTCCCGCCCCCGGGGCTGTCAGATGGCTTGGGTTTCTGCGCCGCGATTGGCTCACCCAGGGCAGAAATTACTCAGCAAACATGACTATTATTAGCTGCTTAGCAACAGCTCACCAAAGTAGAGAGACCACCCAGGTAGGCAACCCCAGTGTGTGCTTCTCTGGCTTCGGGGGGAGCCCCCGCGAGCGCCAACCTTCTCGCACGCAGTCCTTCCATTAAGGAATGCTTCCCCCCTCCTTTCTTTCTTATTCATTTTCTTTTCAACTGTGTCTTTTTTCTTCTTTTTCTTTTTTTTTTTCTTTTTTTTGGTGAGACGCCTTTTGCGCGCGCACACGCGCACACACACACACACAAGAGCATTTGCTTCACGACAGAAACGGAGGGGGCATATGTAATATTTTTTTAAGCGCTTAAACAATTTCTGAAATTCCTCAAAGAAAACGCTTTCAGAGGCACCTTGGCCTCAAGCTGCAGCGAATACTGGGAGGTCCGGCTTGAATTCCCAGGCCTGCACCAATAATGACAGGGTGGTGGATAGTGCGCCAGTGTGTGCCAGATTTTTTTTTTCTTCCTCTCTTTTATAACTAAAGGCAAGACTTAGGCTCTTGCAGGGAATAACGCCTCGTATTAAGATAAACAAAATGTAAAGTTAAAGAGGAAAGCAAGAATGTTGGGAAAAGCCACCTCTTTAAATCTGTTTTATCCCCCTCCCACACACACATCCGTCCCCCCAACACAAACACACACAACCCAGGACAGCACAGTACAGGTCTCAAGCAGTTACGGTTATAAACGTGGTATCTAGTTATCAAAGCAGTCTCGTGGAGGCAGAAGCGTTTTTATTTCAATCTTTAATGTAACGTTCATAAACACATCCTTTCTACAACTCAGAGAATCTTGAAAAAGAAAGGTTTTCCTGATTATTTTGGGTTAATTTGGAGTCCACATCCTTTTTATTGACCACAACTTCATAAAAAGTACTTTTATAACTTTTTTATAAAGCAAAATCCAGTATGCATCCTGTTATGTTTAGTAACAGCGTGAAGTGGAGAGAACAGAGACTTTGATGTTAAATTCATGCGAAACAAATTGCGCGCAGGTCGCGAGGATTTGTCGTGATCCTGCACCCAAGGGTCACCAAGACATCCCAGGGACTGACTTACTTTTCATTGTGGAAGAAAACACGCGACCGCTGCGGGTGATGGATACTAGGACTAGAGGCAAATTAAATAAACTGTCAATACAACAATTTTAAGAAAAAAAAATTTTTAGGGTAGGATGCGTTTTTCTTATATTTTTCAAGTTCAATATTTTCCCGCATAGGCACTAGCCCCGCAAACCCTCGATTCCCATTTTAGTATTTAATTTTGGGGTTTTTTTTTCTTTCCTTTTTCCTTTCTTGTCTGGAGTTGAACTGCAGAGGGACCCGCAGTAGCAAGTTGCCCACTGAAGCCGTGAAATGGAGCAGTGTGACTTTAAGATGCACACGGTGTGTGTTCATTGAAAAAAAAAAAAAAGCGAAGAAAGGAACCCAGATGGAGGGAAAGGGGGAGGAGCGGGGCAGAGGGCGGGGCCCGCATCCACGTGACCCTACCGGGCGCGCGCGCGTGGCCAAACTCGGGTCCTCTCGCGCGCGCCGTCACTAGCCGGGCATGTCGCGACGCCGAGACTTAGGCCCGCAGCCCGGCCCCCGGGAGCCGAGGCAGGCGCGCGCCCCGCCGGCGCGGACGGACGTGCCGGTCACGCCGTAGTACATTCCCGGAGGCGGACCGGCCCCCAGCTCTACCCAATGCGCGTGCAGCCTCCTCGCCGCCGGCCAATGGCTGCGCGCGCAAAGTCCTCCTCTTTCGACAGCCCGGGAGGCCACCGGGGCGGTACGTGCGGCTCCCGCGGGGGGGGGGGGGGGGGAGCGCCGTCGGCCCTCCCGCCCCTTCCTTCCTCCCGCGGCTTCTCTGGCTCCGCTTCCTCTTCGCCCTTTCCTCGTTCCCTGCTTTCTTTTCCTCCTCAGTCTTTCCACTCTCGGCCCAGCCTCGCCACTCCTTGTAGCCGTTTCTCCTTCCTGGTATCACTGAAAGCCCTTGCTCCCTGAAATCCCGAGCCTGCCAAAAGTGTGCGGTGCCCGCTTCGGGGTAGGGTGTCCGGAGGAAAAAGGAACAAAGAGGATAGGAGCGCTCGGGGGTGTTCACTGGATCAGAAGGACTGGACTATCCAGCCAGCGCCGAAATTCAAAACTCGTAACTCCCAAGCAACACGTGATTTTGTGAGCAGCTCTGAGAGCTGCTGAAATCCAGAGAAGGCGAGCACGATGCAATGGAAAACGCCCTTGCGTTGATAAATAATAGCGCAGGCACGTAACTAGCTGAATCTTGGAGTAAAACCCTGGGCTTTATCATGTTTGATAAGTAGCATGAAACAGGAAAAGTAGTTTGCTGTGCTAGCTTTAATAAATGGTTCTGCGGATCTTTCGAGTCAAGCCACTTGGTGCTTACTGCTGGAAATAGTTTTTTGTTTTTTGTTTTTTGTTTTTTTTTTTAAGAGAAATAGGGGTAGCACTTCTAGTTTTATGTCAGCCTGTTTTTATATTCCAGGCTTCTTCTGCATCTATGTAGCTATAGACGCATTGCTATGCTATTTTCAGACTTGTTTAACGTTTTGAAGCAAAATACTAGCGCCCCCTCCCCAACTTTTTATTTAAGCAGTTTCAGTATAGCTGATTGGATTATAAAATTCCGGGGTGGAATAACAGGTTGCATACTCTCTGGTCCCACAATTCTCTTCGTGCGCAACTGCACACCTTGTCCTGCTGGCCACCACTGGTGCATCACTTCACTGGCAAAGTCTTCCACTAGGCTCCTTCCTCTCAGTTCGACTTAATTCCTAAATGTTTTGAACATTGATCCCTGAGGTTTTCAGCACCCCTAGCCCCCTTGCCCACTGTTTGATGGGTTAACTTTTCAGCATCTGAAACAATGGTTCCGGCCTGTAAATTCTACCCATTGGTTCTAGGACGCAATCCCAGCCTCACTCTAACAAGCGCTATCTTAATCTCTCCACCCCCTACCCGCTGCTTCCCCTGTGGTCTGCTTTTTTCATACACAGAGATGAATTACTTTGAGGATCTAATTGGCCTTGTTTCTGTAACGTTTTAAGAAAGGGAAGAGGAGCCAGTGTAAAAGCCTGCTCGACTTGGGTGGCCAGGGCTGAGGCTGCCCCCAATTTGCCTCATTGCTGATGCATGCGAAGGCGACATTCCCAGCGATAATGTTGTTCCTAATCAATCTGCCCTTATTTACATTTGTAAGCATTGTCGGCTTTAATATGCATGCCCTGTGCAGGGACTGCTGCACCACACCGGGTTTGTTAACTTCCAACTAACCACCAGGATTCCACAGACCTGGGAGAAGGCTGATTGGAGGAGCCAGGCCTGCTAAGGTGTCTGCCGGGTAACAGACTCTTTAATGGCCTTTCTGCCTGGTAGCTCCCCTGGTGAGAGTTACCAAGTAAGTGAGAGATTAGGGCTTTATCAACCAGCAGGAGTTGCTAGCCTCTGTGGAGCAAGAGCAGAAGCGTCCATTTCTCTTTCCAAGTAAAGTTCATCTCAATGCCTTGCTGTCAGTTTTTTTTTTTGTTTTGTTTTTTCTCTCACCATCATGATCCAACACTTCTTATTAGAGTTTGGTTTTCAAAACAGATTCCTTCAACTCTGGATTCCCTCACAACTCCTTCCTTCACTGTTCCAATGCTTCAAATAGCCATGGCCATGCCACACACATCTCAAAAATGACATCAGATTATCCAAATGATGACACTGAAATAAAACATCTGCCCTTGGTATTGGGCTGTTCCAATGATAAGCTATTATGGGAGCCAGACTTGGTGCAGTTATAAAAAGCCAGTGAGATTTAACTTTTCACTGATTTCCTAGATCAAATCCAATGAATCTTTAAAATCCAATGTAAAAAAAAAAAAAAATCCAATGTAATTTAGGTAATTTCTGCAGAGTGTATATGTATAAAGGAGTAAATATATTCTGGTAATTTGACCCCCGGGCCATTTATAATTTGGTTGAATGAGTTCAATACTCTCTTCCAGAAATCCAAAGAATTGCAAGCATGACATTAAATCCTACAGTATTCTTGTTGGGGGAGTAGGATGGAGAGATGAATGAGGATTTGATGTACTATTCTGTTTATGGATGAGGAGCCAAAGATACAAGATGTGAGTGATGGGCTGGGGCTGACGCAGTTCAAAGTAGGTACCTTTGATGACAGTCTTGACTCCTCAAGCCAATGTGCCACCATCCACATTTTCTTGGTTCCCTGAGAATGCTTTATTATTTTTTCATTGGCAGTGTTGTATTTACTTAAAAGATGATGGTAGAAAAGGAGTCTAAGGATTTCAGGCAGGAGGGGGGAAAAATTCAGCAACCACAAAATGTAAAACCACTGGGCTCTATCCCCCACCCCTTTTGCCTTCCACCTCCAGTTTCCTGCCCTGATCCCCCAACCCCCCTACCTCCCCATGCTGGAGGAACAGGGAACAGCTCTAGCCAACTTGTCAAAATAATGCTGCTAATTACCCCTGATCTCCTTTAATGGGAAGCTGCTCCCAACTCCACAAAGGAGTAAATGAGAGGTCTACAGCATAAACCCAGAGCATTGGCATTTTTGGAGCTCATAGTGAGCTGAGAGTGGAGAAAGTGGCAGAGGGGGGAGATACCTTGAGAAGGTCCCAGAAATCTCTTCATTGATTACTCTAGGTTTAAATATAAGCCTAAAAGAATTAGACTTTACTATGCCAAAAGCTATTGGGATTCTCTTGCAGAGAATGCCACCAATTGCAGGGAACTTTCAGAGCCTTCGATGAACTTCAAAGAAAACATCACATTGACCCTCACCTTGATCCCCTCCCCTTCTATCTTCTCAGCCACATGACTTTAATGGATAGATAA